TCACCACTAGCATCACCACCAGCATCAGCATCACCACTAGCATAAGCACTAGCATCAGCATCACCACCAGCACCACCAGCATCAGCATCACCACTAGCATAAGCACCGTCATCAGTACCACCATCAGTACCACCAGCATCACCACCATCATCAGTACCACCATCAGTACCACCAGCATCACCACCATCATCAGTACCACCATCAGTACCACCAGCATCACCACCATCATCAGTACCACCATCAGTACCACCAGCATCACCACCAGCACCATCATCAGTACCACCATCACCACTACCAGCATCAGCATCACCACTAGCATAAGCACTAGCATCAGCACCCCCATCATCACCACTAGCATCACCACCAGCATCAGCATCACCACTAGCATAAGCACTAGCATCAGCATCACCACCAGCACCATCATCAGTACCACCATCACCACTTCCAGCATCAGCATCACCACTAGCATAAGCACTAGCATCAGCACCCCCATCATCACCACTAGCATCAGCATCACCACTAGCATAAGCACTAGCATCAGCATCACCACCAGCACCACCAGCATCAGCATCACCACTAGCATAAGCACCGTCATCAGTACCACCATCAGTACCACCAGCATCACCACCATCATCAGTACCACCATCAGTACCACCAGCATCACCACCATCATCAGTACCACCATCAGTACCACCAGCATCACCACCATCATCAGTACCACCATCAGTACCACCAGCATCACCACTAGCACCATCATCAGTACCACCATCATCACCATTAGCATCAGCATCACCACCAGCACCATCATCAGTACCACCATCAGTACCACCAGCATCACCACCATCATCAGTACCACCATCAGTACCACCAGCATCACCACCATCATCAGTACCACCATCAGTACCACCAGCATCACCACCAGCACCATCATCAGTACCACCATCACCACTACCAGCATCAGCATCACCACTAGCATAAGCACTAGCATCAGCACCCCCATCATCACCACTAGCATCACCACCATCACCAGCTCTAGCATCAGTACCACCAGCACCATCATCAGCACCAGCATCAGTACCACCAGAACCATCATCAGCACTAGCATCAGTACCACCATCACCACCATCATCAGTACCACCAGAACCATCATCAGCACTAGCATCAGTACCACCATCACCACCATCATCAGCACTAGCATCAGTACCACCAGAACCATCATCAGCACTAGCATCAGTACCACCAGAACCATCATCAGCACTAGCATCAGTACCACCATCACAACCATCATCAGCACTAGCATCAGCACTAGGGCTGAACGATTCTGGAAAATAATCTAATTGTGGTTTCATTCACGATTATTTTCTCAAGGGGCGTTTCTCTTATGTTTCAACTAACGGAAGCAAATAAAACCCATGTAACTTGTACTGAATATAAGTAAGTGCATGTATCTACATATTTATCTACATATTACATCAACACGTTTATTCGTCTACATAAACATAAACACTCACAAGTAAAGACAACATTTTGTATTGAAGGTGCAATGCTTTGCAGCCAGGAGCACATCCCTTGAAGGAGAATAGGTATTAGCATCACCTGTGAACATTTATTTGCAGGAAAGAAGTGTGTCCCGTTTATAGAAGTCTTTAGTGTTTTGAGTTTTTGAAGTCTTGACCATGCAGAGCTTCCATAGTTCAGTTATGTCTAGGGTTGTCATGGTAACCGCTGTAGCAGTAAACCCTGGTAAAAAAAGTTAATAATAATAACCGTCTTGTTTTTTAAACATATATTATCTCGGTGGGTTAGCGTGGCTGCGGTGTAGGCGCGGTGACCCTTACCAGCCACCGTATCATCTGCTGAAGTTGCCGGCGGCACATGCGCACTTTGTTGTTTACAACCAAACTTTCTTGAAGCTAAAGCTGAAATAACGGCCAAAGGAGGAAACGGCAGCACTCAGGACATTTATTATCCCTCAAAGAAGACAAAGTGGGAAGTACGGGCATCTTTTGGATATCTGAAGAATGCCGAGAGACAGCTGATAGAAGACGGCTATCCTGTTTGCAGCACGTGCAGAAAAAGTGTCTGTGAAAGGCAGCAACGCTTCAAATCTCATGACACATCTGCGTGACCATCACCCACAACTCTACAGTCAACGCAAGGCAAGCTAACGTTAGCGTTTTAGCTAAAATGCGTGATCCGAGGATTTGGGTTGAGGGAGAATGCAACGAGTCGCTATATAAAGCAGCCGCAGCGCCGCTACCTGCATATAAACCGTGTCGCGGACACCCCCATATTGAAATGACGCTATGCATTATGGGGCTCCCAGGGGCAGATAAGAGTTGGTCTCTCTCCGAGAATAATTATGAATTTAACAATGATTACTGCCTGATGACATTTTCCCACATCTGCAAAGCTCACTGGAAGGACACAAACCGAGGACAATATTTTCCTGATATAGGGTTTATTTAGTTGTCTGAAAATGTAACACGTTTAAAAAAATACCGCGATAATACAGAAAACCGTGATAATTTTGGTCACAATAACCGTGAAGTTAAATTTTCACACCGTAACAACCCTATTTACGTCCATAGCTGCTACCCAGAACTCAGTGGAGTTAAAGTCTTTTACAGTTTTCTAGCTTTATTAAAATATCTGTCTGTACTTATTTAATTGATGGCAGTTTTTACTTTTTATTAGACTTCAAATGTAATCATTCTTATTTCGTAATTTGTAAGAATGTCACCAGCATTATTAGCATTAGCATCCCTATGGGGTTTTCCATGTATATTAGCATTGTGCTAACCACTCGCTGCCAGTCAAATCGCAGCCTTTGCGGTTAGAAAATCTCCTTTTGCCACATTGCAGTTTAATTGGATATGTAATTAACCATTCAGCCCTAATCAGCACCATTATCATGACCACCAGCAGCACCCTTACCATCATCAGTACCACTAGCACCATCAGCACCATCTTCATTACCACCAGCAGGTCCAAAATGAACCCTCTCAATCCTCGATGACATGTTTTAGATGAAACTCTAAAAGATTTATTACTGAAGATAATCCAATCTGATTTGGTGGCCTTAAGAACTCCTGAAACTTCACAGATCAGAAAGACTCAGCTAGTTTCATTTTTTCTTTTTAATGACTTTTTCCTACTTTGTCTTTGAATTTGGATGCGACTTTCTTTGTGAAGCACTGTTTCTCTCTAAAAGGTGCTAGTTTATAAATAAGCTTTACTAAACCAGACTCTTGGGTTTGTGCATTAAATCAGGTTTAAAACGGTATTCCAGGTGTGCTTTTCCCATTTCCATCCGTCTGTGAGATTGACTCTGCATTTATATAGCAGCTCATTTATTTATGAACCAGCAGTGAAAAATGTGTCACCGCCTCAAGAGATTTTACACAGAGGTGGTTCTCTGCTCTCCTCTCAGAAGCTTTTAAACAGATGAACATAGTCGCTGTTAGAAGAAAGTGATCAGACATCGGTCTGAGTTTTATTGCTGCAGCTGTAAACATCTGTCTGTGTGTGTTTTTTACCATTAAGGATTGATGGCTGCAGGTTTTTGTGTTGCACCTGGACTGGGAAACCTGTACAAAATGTTTTTACTGCTTTGGAGAAAATAAGGTTACTGATTTAACACTCATCCATCCCGGATCAGACCATGGAGGTCTAGAAAAGAAGCACAATCTTCTCAGATCCTCCTGCAGGATACCAAAACCAGAACAGAGATGGTCTAGATCAGGGGTGTCAAACTCAAATTCACACTGGGCCAAAATTAAAATCTGGGATTTTCTATTCTATTCATCTTTCTGCAGCCTTTCCACTTCCTGTTTACTGTAGGTTAAATCTTTTCTCACGGGCCAACAACAAAATAAAAATATCATTTTATCTTAAATGAAAATGCAACATCTCACCTGTTAACTTTCATGTTTTGGAGCAGAAAAAGAGCATAAAACCAACATATTTAAAGCTCAGTTTGCTCCACTGGTTTACTGTGATGCTCACCTGTTCCAGCCAGATACCTGCATCATGGGGTTGATCTGAGCTGAGGAGGTGGAGACTCCTGTTGTTTTGTTCATCTTCATCATAATAATGACAACATTAGATGACAACAGGTGCTCACACAGGTTTGTGCTGCTGAACATGTCTGAGCAGCTGGACCACGTTGTTGTGTGTCGGGGAGGAAAAATAAAAACTACAGCAGCCACAGAGTCGTGCTGGTTTGAGCGTGTCGCTGCTCGCTGGAGTTACATCAGCTCTGTCTGGAAGTTAGTTGGAAAACTTTCTCTTTCAGTCGTGAACACATGACTGAGCGGTTAAAATCCCCGTTTCTGGGCTTCAATGTCGGTAAATAGCTGAGTAAACCCGACGCGGAGTGAGAGGAGTGTTTAGTTTGTCCGAGACAGCGGAGCTGCAGACACCGGCATCAGACGCTGGAAAAAACACAAAGTATCATGGGAGTTGTAGTCTTTGTGGTAAAATTGGCCATCTGGTCAGTTTTAGTATATTTTTTATATTTATGTCGCGGGCCAAATAAAAATGCTCCACGGGCCACATCTGGCCCACAGGCCTTGTGTCTGACACATGTGGTCTAGAATCTCCAGTGAGTTTTAGGTCTGCCCCGGAGTCTCCTCACAGTTCTAGAAATCCTCCAGAAGAAGGCGACCTGGAGGGTCTGAACCACCTCTATTGGAGGAGGAGGAGGAGCAGCAGTATGAATGATGGCGCTCCGGACCTCGTCCATTCGACCTGATATCTAGGACCTTGTTCTTCTTGCAGCTCAAATCTCAAATGCCGAAGTTAAACCAGCCCAGCTCTCCTTTACCACAACAAACCACGACATCTTAATCCAAACAGATTATTGAGCCTGATCAACGTGAATGCTGCAGGTTTCAGTTACAGGTTCAAGCACTTTCAAACCCTTCAATGAACCCCACTCACATTCAAGCACCTGTAAGCACCCAGGTGTGAGACCAGAGGGACGTGTGGACACGTACCCTTCTCTGTAGTTGATCACCGTGTCGATGATGGTGTTCATCTGCTTGGTGAGTTTGGGCGGGTTGGGGGAGAACTTCTCCGCTGGAGGACGTCCACGTCTTTTCTTGGCCTTCATCCCACCATTGTCTCTGCTGGACGTGTCCTTGTCCTGGCGCCGCTTGCGCTTGCGTTTTTTCAGCCGGATCTCCTCCTCCATCTCCTCCAGGTTTCCATCCTCGATGGCCTGCAGGTTACAGAAGTCAGAGCAGCTCATAAAGACACGATCCATAAAAACACTTTGTTTGGCGTTTGTTTTACCCCAGATGCATCTGGACTCCACCTAAAGGGAAATGTGTCAGTACAGTTTCTAGGTCAGGATCTGGCCTCAGGTCAGCAGGGGCGGCTCCAGAAAATTTTGATAGGGGTGGCCAGACGGGGCCAGCGAAGTCTTTGGGGTGGCACACCAAACTGGTCCTTGTGGTAACTTTGGGAGAGTTTAGCCAGTGGCGATGTGCTGTATTGCTCCTTTATTTGTTTTTACTTTTTAAGAACAGTACGTATCAAACAGGGATGTGTATTTTTGAAATTCTGGCGATACGATACATATCACGATACATGGGAGACGATACGATATATTACGATATATTGCGATACACTCAGTCAGATGATACAAGCAATTTTTTTTACTGAATTTATTGTAAGAATGCTTAATGAACAGTCCAAACTGATACGTAACATGTTTAACATGAGGTATCTGAACCATGATGGAGGGATTTACATTTCAATGGTGGAAACAAAACCCGTTGCACACTGCTGCCAACTAGCGGGTGACGATTGAATTGCACAAAACGAAAAGAAAATACACAAATGTTTGCATGCAAATTCTTTCAAGAATTAGATACACGGCTTTTGAATATCGATGTAATAATCGCAGGAAAAAATATCACAATATATTGCTATTTCGATATTTTCTTACATCCCTAGTATCAAAAACATTTTTACTTAAATTTTACAAGCATACATTTCAGAAAAATAAATTTCAGTTATTTAAAATGTTTTGAAAATGTTATTTTCAAATGTGTGTTTTTTTAAATTATTTCTTTACTCATTAATTATATTACTTTTTATTTTGTTTTACAATTATGTCTTGAATAAATAAGATCAATTTATGGTTTGAGTGAACAATAATATTAATATGATTTATTAATACTGGCTTTTGCTGGGGGGGGGGGGGGGGGGCGCCATTGCAAGTCAGTTACTAGTTTCACAGAAATATTTATTTACATGGTTTTTGGCTGATTTGAATCTGTTTTTAGACATTTTTCCAGAAGCTTTGAGGAGAAAGATGTCTGTGTCTCTACAGAGAAGCCAGGCTGAGAAGGAATATCACACGTGAGGAAGGCTGGCTCGGCTGTCACTGAAAAAGAAAAGTTGAGAAGGAAGCCAGAGATTTTCCAGACTAGGCCAACTCCGCGTGTTCATTCCTCCTACGCAGGATTTTCACGTCAGCTTGAGGAATATTTATAGAGACAGAGACGATAATTAGAATCTTCAGAGGAGATCATGGTGTCACAAATCTTTAGAATATTAGTGTAAAGTAACTGATTCAAGTTTAAGTGCTGCACCAGAACCCTGACTGGCAGTAACAGGCCCAGGCTCTGGTTCTGGTTCTGGAGGAAACAGAGCTTGAAGGGTTTTAAACGAGGACCTCGGCTGTAAGCTGTTAGAGCTGAAAGGCTAATTCCCCTCTGGTCATGGAGGGTTTTTCTTCTTCTCGAGTCTTTATCAGTCGGCCAACAGGTCTCCACACATTTCTCTCCTCTCATGAGAACGTGTTTGAAGCACAGCTAACGCTGGTTTCCACCTACGGTCACCTTGGCCTCAACAAGTGTCTCTGTTCTACTTCCGTTTTCCCTGAAAGGCCCGCGGCGCTCCATAAAACGGCTGTGTGAGGTTTCAGACGATTCCCGGGGCCAACGTGTCACCGACTATTTACCAAGTGTCACCGAATTCCACGAGTGTTGCACGAAGAAACACTGGCTACGTAGATTTTAGGTTTATAAAAGCATTTCAGCAGAATCAAATGCGATCTGTAGCTTGTTCAGGCTGGATGTTGAGTCAACTCCTCTTCGTCCTCACTAGTTACTTTTCACGCTGCTGTTTCCGTCATTTCTGTAGATTTTAGAGCTTACTTAAAAAGCAAGTCACCCCAAATCAATGTTTTTCTGATAAACTATATAAATGCGTGTCTAATCGTGCTGCAGACACGTGTCGTCAATAGTTTTGCACTTGAGTGCATTTTAGTTCAAATTTAAATATTCTGCCTAAAACTGTCAGTGTTGTGCCGTTGCCAGGTAAAAACTCTGCACTGCATTTGAATTTAAATCTGCCATCGCTATTGGCTAAGAGGTACCCTAGAACGTTAGCTGGATTCGTTCGAATAACCTGGTTTAAAAACCAGATTTTAGGATAAATAGTTTACCATCGTGGCAACTCTGAGGGGGCTGGATTGTTTTTGCAACTGATCCATTCCCTTTCAGTCGATTCACTCGGTACAATGAAGGTGCTACGGGACATCATGCCCTTGTGTGGCCGGCTGAAGACGCATCTGATCACGCCCGTAAGGCTAACGAGCGTGATGCTGTGTGGAGGCCCCGACCTCCACTTATGAGCGACGTTCCTTCATTCCACAGATCTTACGCTCTTCACCTCGCTGAGAACATGTCTTTATTAGCTGCGCTATTGAAAAGCTAGCTTAGCTGTTCGCTGGTGCCTCTCTGCTACCTTCTAGCTGGCGTTCTGCCCACCGAGCACTACTTTTTTGCCTTCGTGCTTCGCTCATCGATTCCTCCGCCCCGCTCCGTCTCACCATGAGCATCGTCAGAACCAGGTAAGCGAATGCCTGCTTCGCGGCCCTGTCCCCGATAAGTGTCATAATACCTTCGTTGTACCAAGGGAATCGACTGACAGGGAACGTCAGGTTATGCATCTAACTACAGGAATGAGGCACAACGCAGGGCCGCCCCATTTCACAGCCCAGCTCGTCACGCTCATCTGCCTTTACAGGTGTGCTTAGATGTGTCTTCAGCCGGCCACACGAGGGTGTGTCGTCCCATAGCACCTTACCATACCCTATCTTGTACCATAGAACAAGATAGCGCTGGTGGAAAACGTCCACTGGGCTTCAGTTCAGCTCTTCAGAAACCTACAGGTAACAGCGTGGAGGGTTTGTCCGTCTTATGTTGTCTGATCGCGGTTTCACACTGCTAGCATCAGCGGAACGGAACAGCAGCGGAGCGGCTCGCTCGCCGACTTCAAAGCGGCCCTTTTCACACCGGGAGAGTCTTGGCCTCGGCACGGCTTCCTCGCTGCGCCTCGCTGTACTCGCGAGATTCTAAAATCCCTCTTGACTTCCGACACCTTCCTCATCGAGAGATCACAACCCCCGCGAGGAATCTCACCGCTGCACTTCTTGAAAGAAACTGCTGGTAAACAAAGCCGTTCGGTCCCACGTGCTGACGTAAGTTATACAGAACATTGTAACATTTTATTTTGAAAATAACTGGGGATTTTACACTGAAACCATGTGTGGCTTCCTGTCTCGCACTATGTGAACTGCGGAAACTGACGTGTCCCAGAAGCGGCTCGCGGAAATAATAGAACTCGATCCTATCTTTAGCGCCGCGGCACGCCGCTTCTGGGACACGCCTGGAAATTGTCGCGTCGCAGCTGGTTTGAAACACTCCATAGACTACAACTGGATTCTATTTGAAGCGGTGCCGCTTCGCCGTTCCGTTGATGCGTGCAGTGTGAAACGGGGGTGAATTGATCAAAATCCAGGGAACTGTACCTATAAAACATGAGCTTTAGTCCAACAGCGACAATATTTATCTTTAAGGTTTCTAAAGTTTAAGTTTTCAACCACATAACGAGAGTTTTAGGTGGAAAAAGATAAAAATCATGATGCAAAAAATAAAATCAGGAATTTGAAATATGATCAAAAGTTTTCTTACTGGACCTCGCTGATTCTAGCTTAGACATCGGAATGTTAATATAAAAATATTTCCAGATAATAGTCCACATTTTTCCAATACAGAAAAAGTTAGTGAATCCTTCTAAAAACTTCCCAGCTGTAATTCAGGCAGCAAAAGTTAAAAACTCTGGTCACAAACTGTGTATGACACCAGAAATGTTTAGTACATTTAAGGTCAAATTATTTAAAAGTAGTTTGTTTTTTTATTTGTTTTAAGGGTAAAAAATGACAGAATGCAGATAAAATCATTATAGTTAAATGAATTTTTACAGTTGTTTTAATCCCAATGTTTTTAAATAAACACATAAATACCTATTTATTGAGCTAAATGTTTTTTGAGCAGATGATTTTATCCAAAGCAACATAATACCGCAGAAGCAGCAACGCAGTGAATAACGTGCATGTTTTTGGTCCGCGGGAGAAAGCCAGAGTTTCTGGTGAATACCCACACGTGCATGGGTAGAACATGCTAACTCCACACAGAGAGGCTAGGGTGCTAACAGCCGGGTCGACACGGGTGCGTTTCACACCGCACGCAGAACTTTGGTAGATTTTAGACAAAGACTCTAAAATAAGCTGATTAAATCCTCTCCTCACAGAAGCGTCCTACCCGTCTGCTTCACACAGGGTATCTGCAGGTTTAAGGGAGCCAAATTTAAGCCTTCTTAAGACCTTTTTAAGGCCACTTTGACCAAATTTAAGCTATTTTTTTTAATTTAATTTAAGATATAATTTCCAGCTATTGCCTGGAACCGGTGCTAACCACGTCGCGAACGTGGGATTAACCATCCAGTTACCATTAAACTTGCCCTTCCCCATGGCGCAAGCTCCCACTAGCTTAACCAGCTAATGTGCTCATCTAAAAATAGCCCCCTTTCACAACCAACTGAACGTGCACGGTTCCGCTTACGCCAACATCACACACAAAAAATGCTGAAGACTAACTAGATATTCACGAAAATTTTATAGGAATAAAATAATCTTGTTTATTGGGTCTTTGAAAATTTAAGACCTTTGGAAACTGTATTTAAGGATTATTTATCATTTTAAGGATTTTTAAGGCCTTACATTTGGAAAAGCAAATTTAAGACTTTTTAAGGACACGCGGATACCCTGTTCACAGGAAGTGAGCCAGTAAGCTGAGCGAGATAACAAACAACTCAAATCAATAAATCTCTTCAGTTTTAGACTAAGAGTGGCTGCTGTGAGTT